ACGGTGGCAACGGCCAGCCGGGAGCTTGTCCCCTTGGGCAGATGGTTGATGAGCGCTCCGAGAAGGATGGGCCAGGAGTGGAGGCCATCGTGGCGGGCAAGGCCTGCGGGTCCCTGCTGGCCGTGACCGCCACAGAGAAGCAAGGTACTGCCTTCGTCTACGACATCTCCGACATCGCCTCTCCCACGCTCCTCTTTGTGAAGCACTTGTCTGTGGCCTCCGAAACCAAGAATCCGGGCGTGGCCTATGCGGACGGTACTCTGGGTGAGATCGACCCAGAGGCCATGATCTTCCTGGAGGACGCTCATTCTCCCTCCGGCAAGGCCGGCGTGATGTTCGCTGGTGCCTGGTCGGGAACCATGTCCTTCTGGGAGTTCGAGTGCCCCACCACGACCACGGCCGCAGCCAATGACTCCGCAAGCAGTGCGCGCGAGGCATCCGCCTTGTCCTTGACCCTGTTGCTCCTTGCCTTTGGTTTTACCCGGCTTTAAAGCCACAGCTGCGGCTGCAGGAGCATAACTTGCGCTAACACGCGCGAGATTGTGCTCCTGGTGTATAGGTCGGGGTGAAACATCTAGCATGACCCCGCGCCATATGCTTCAGGCAGCCGACCTTTCTTGGAACAAAAACGGCATAGCCGTAGAACTTGTTGAAGCCTTTTCTGTTCTCGCAATTTCAAAGTGCGAGACTCCCCACTACTCTTTATCTTCATCCTGGCATCAGTAGCATAGCAGTCAGGCATCCTACAGATTTGCCTCCAGCATGTAAGATTTGTGTGCTTCCTGATGTATCGGCACCGGCTCACGGCGTGCATCGGGACGGCCTTGTGTGTGTGTGTGGGAGTGTGAATGCTACATATCCATATGATCTCAAGCAGCAACGCTGCAAAATTCTCAGCTTTGGAGAGTTTGGCTGGGGGACGTGCAGTTACAGAACCTTTTAGGACCAGAGGGGCGTACGTATATGTCAATCCTAACGTATGTATATATGTATACCTGTACCCACACCCCTAACTTCACCTGGTCAGGCCAGCAATTATCATTGCTGCATGTCTCTCAATGCCTAACCCAGGGCAGCTGACTTTGGGCTCCCTGCATATCTTGCTGGATTACTTGCTTCTACCGACTTCGGTGAATGAGGGCGGATCAGGATAGGGATCGGCCACTGAAGTTGTGAGCGCTTCGCAAGTATAATGGTTGAAGCCTGTTATATGGTAATTTTCCAAAATAAGGGGACCCCCAATATAGACCCCCAAAATACTATAGTCCTTATCATTGGGACCCCCAAAATGGTACCCTTAATTTTCATCTTGCTCGGTGGCATGAAGCCCTGCTCTGTGAATCTACCTGTCCCCGCCGCACGACATTTTTTTCTGGAACATGCCGTAAAAGACCATGTACGCGCCTTCAAGACGACAAAACACAGTTTCTTGCGCGGCTGATTATTAGTTTTCTTACTAGCTCTAAGGGTCCAAGTACTTAATAGTCATATACTTGCCCAAAACCTGTACTACCATCACTATTACCCACATCCCAGGTTATGGTTAGTATTATTACTATTGTACTGCAGGCGCAGAGGGGAGTTCCTTTTGCAAGCTTTTCGTAATGGTTAAAGGCGCATTTCCAAGGTGTTGCCTATCTTTGATGGACTACTATAGGAGGGCTATGTATGGGTTATATACGGCTTGTATAGGGTTTATATAGGGATAGTAAACGGATTATATAGGGGTTATATAGGGGTTATATAGGGGTTATGTATAGGTTATATAGAGATAAGGGAGAAGAACATGGAAACCAATTTGTAGGGTTTAAAGGTTTAGGGATTAGAGTTTTGGAAATGCGTTTAGGGTAGCCATCCCGTAGGTTCCCCCCTACTTTATGCGTCACATAAGAATGCTTAGGCCTAAGTATTAATTAACTAGTTGAAGAAGAAGAAGAAAGGGGCCTAGCACAGAGCTTGATGATTTGTAGCTAACCCATGAATCTTCCACACCCACTGAGACAACTTACCAAGCCGCAACCATCTCGTATGAATCCCGTTTGAACAGATGTTTTGAGGAGTCCCCAAGGCAGAGCTATACTTCGAAGCATTACACTCCAGTCGTACTAAGGCTTTTGGATCTATGTTGTGGGTCTACAGCTCCCCTCCCTAGTAAGAAACCCCTAATAACAGATACCCCCCCAAAAAATAGCACCATTGCATCATGCATGGTATGTTTATCTTCGGGGGATGGGGTGGGTGATTAGTATAACCCTAAGGGTCCAAGTACTTAATAGTCATATACTTACCCAGAATCTGTACTATACTTACTATTACCCAAATCCCAAGTGCCCAAGTATCGGGTACATGGACCCTCAGCGTAAAGGACCCAAATAATAGGGTTTGAGGGCCCAACTACCATTAATATTATAGCATTTGGGCCCTAAAGCCCTTTTATTTCCCAGCGGGTGCGTTTGCAGGCG